TTCCTATACACTAATAATGAAAAATCTGAAAGAGAAATTAAGGAAAACCTCCCATTTACCACTGCAACAAAAAGAATAAAATACCTAGGAATAAACCTACCTAGGGAGACAAAAGACCTGTAGGCAGAAAACTATAAGACACTGATGAAAGAAATTAAAGATGGTACCAACAGATGGAGAGGTGTACCATGTTCTTGGATTGGAAGAATCAATATTGCGAAAATGACTCTACTACCCAAAGCAATCTACAGGTTCAGTGCAATCCCTATCAAATTACCAATGGCATTTTTTACAGAACCAGAAGAAAAATTCCTAAAATGTCTATGGAGACACAGAAGACCCTGAATAGCCAAAGCAGTCTTGAGGGAAAAAAATGGAGCTGGAGGAATCAGATTCCCTGACTTCAGACTATACTACAAAGCTACAGTAATCAAGACAATATGGTACTGGCACAAAAACAGAAATATAGATCCATAGAACAGGATAGAAAGCCCAGAGATAAACCCATGCACATATGGTCAACTAATCTACGACAAAGGAGGCAAGGATATACAATGGAGAAAAGACAGTCTCTTGAATAAGTGGTGCTAGGATAACTGGACAGCTACATGTAAAAGAATGAAATTAGAACACTCCCTAACACCATACAGAAAAATAAACTCAAAATGGATTAGAGACCTAACTGTAAGACGGGGCACTATAAAACTCTTAGAGGAAAGCATAGGAAGAACACTTTTTAACATAAATCACAGCAAGATCTTTTTTGATCCACCTCCTAAAGGAAATAAAAACAAATATAAACAAATTGGACCTAATGAAACTTAAAAGCTTTTGCATAGCAAAGGAAACCAAAAACAAAACGAAAAGGCAACCCTCAGAATGGGAGAAAACTTTTGCAAATGAATCATCAGACAAAGGATTAATCTCCAAAATATATAAACAGTTCATGCAGCTCAATATTTAAAAAAAAAACAACCCAATCCAAAAATGAGCAGAAGACCTAAATAGACATTTCTCCAAAGAAGACATACAGATGGCCAAGAAGCACATGAAAAGCCGCTCAACATCACTAATTATTAGAGATATGCAAATCAAAACTACAATGAGGGGCTTCCCTGGTGATGCAGTGGTTGGGAGTCTGCCTGCCGATGCAGGGGACGCGGGTTCGCGCCCCGGTCTGGGGAGATCCCACATGCCGCGAAGTGGCTAGGCCCGTGAGCTGTGGCCGCTGAGCCTGCGTGTTCGGAGCCTGTGCTCTGCAACCGGAGAGGCCACAACGGTGAGAGACCCGCGTACCGCAAAAAAAAAAAGAAAAAAAAAAAAAACTACAATGAGGTATCACCTCACAACAGTCAGAATGGGCATCATCAAAACATCTACAAGCAACAAATGCTGGAGAGGGTGTGGAGAAAAGGGAACCCTCTTGCGCTGTTGGTGGGAATGTAAATTGATACAGTCACTATGGAGAACAGTATGGAGTTTCCTTAAAGAACTAAAAATAAAATTACTGTATGACCCAGCAATCCCACTACCGGGTAAATACACAGAGAAAACCATAATTCAAAAGACACATGCACCCCAATGTTCATTGCAGCACTATTTACAATAGCCAGGACATGGAAGCAACCTAAATGCCCATCAACAGACGAATGGATAAAGAATATGTGGTACATATATACAATGGAATATTACTCAGACATAAAAAGGAATGAAACTGGGTCATTTGTAGAGATGTGGATGCATCTAGAGACTGCCACACAGAGTGCAGTAAGTCAGAAAGAGAAAACAAATATCTTATATGAACGCATATATGTGGAACCTAGAAAATGGTACAGATGAACCAGTTTGCAGAGCAGAAATTGAGACACAGATGTAGAGAAGAAATGTATGGACACCAAGGGGGGAAAGCGGTGTGCGGTGGTGGTGGTGGTGGGATGAACTGGGAGATTGGGAATGACATGTATTCACTGGTGTGTGTAAAATGGATGACTAATAAGAAAATAAACAAATAAATAAACATTAAAAAAAAAGAACATGTAAGGTTATAGAAAAATGGAGAACCTAGGAAAAAAAGACTAGAGACAAAAAGAAAGATCAGATTTCGAAAAAGACAATGATGGGTTTGAGCAGGGATCTGTTGTGTGTGGGTAATTAATACTAGAAAAAATAAGTATCACAAAATAAGATAAGGAAAAGGTGATATCGCTGGATAGATATGAAAATGGATAGATGAATCTGGGGATATAAAGCGGGGTCAACTGCTGAGCTGGCAAGAATGAGAACTGAGAGTTGGCCAGGGGGTAGTCTGTGATGAGACCAAACTTTGGGGGTCTCAGTGGAGTCCCGCAAGAATCAAAGCAATGAGCATGGGCTAGTGTTTTAAGGAAAGATTGATGAGGACAACCACTTGAAGGCCAAAAGAGTATTTTGTTACTGTTTTTGTTTGCTTACTTTAAGGTAGGAGATGTTGTATGGAAAAGGGAAAAAGCAAGGGAGAGGTAGAAATTGTAGATGAATAAAGAAAGGGTCATTAGGAATGGGTTCCTGAAGGGAAGAGGGAAAGGTGAGATTGGAAGTCGAGGTATAAGAGTTAGCCTTGGCGAAGAGGACACTTCCTTCTCAGGTTCTCACAAAAAGGCTGTGGCATTTTTGGATGTAGGAAGTATATTCCTTTTGTACTCAACACTGAGGAGATATTTAGTAAAATACTGCAAAAAAAAAAAAAAAAGCTGGCCACAAATCAATAGAGTTTCTTTTTTTTTTTTTAATCAGATAATGGTATCATATGTTCTCCACTGAGTGCAAAACCAAGAGAAATGAATGTCAGTCAAGATATTATCAAAGGAAATTACCAATGCTATCCCTTTTTGGAGTTTTTCTTGAAAAGGACATATTTGAACCTGGCTGAAATAGATTGATTACGGTCATGGCCTCATGTTATTACTGATGGGCTGGGTCAGGTGACTTTGGAAAGCTACATTTCAGGCTCAGAAGACTGAATGTGTGAAGGCATAGCCAGGCTAGACAAAATCAGAGGGTGCTGTTTTTTCATGAAAATAAATGGATGCCAGGAAACCAGGATTTTAATTCCAGTTTGATCACTAATTATTTCCATTTTTTGGACAAGGATTTTAACTCTTATAAGTCTTAGTTTCCTTTTTCATAAAATTAAGGGTGTGGTCCTGACAGCTAAGATTTTCTTAGCCTTAAAAATAAAATGATTCTAAAATTGTGCAGTATATTGGCTATTTTGCTCATGGTAAAGTCACAGAATGTGTTTGTTCTTTATGAAGGTTTCCCTTGCTTGAATTTTATGAAAACATTTTGTATGCTATCTGACTAATTTGGAACATCTGATATCTTTGAAAGTATTATAAAAACTCAATTGATGCTGCGTGGGTAGATGCTAAACTTAGCATCTTTCTAAACTTAGAAAAGACTAAATCAGATTCCCTTCATATTAAATCTTTCTTTGCCTGTAAGTTTCCTTCACTTGGAAGCTGCAGTAACTCAGGCTACACGTAACCATTTGAGAAATTGTTATTCAGAAGCATTCCATTTCCTCTTGGGAGTTGGAAGAGTTAATGCAGTTAAAAAGTTTGACGCAGCTTAGACCTTCTTGGGTGTCTAGTTTTATGGTTTTAATAGTCACTTTAGCCCTCCAAATAAGTCACTTCAAACTATCATTTTAGGCAGAAAATATCACTAATTGCAGTTTGGTTGAATTAATTATCATGTGTCATTTAATCATTTGAGTAGACTTCCCTACTAGACTATGAACTCCACGGAGATAGAAATGTGCCTGTTTTTGCTCATCCATGTATCATGCCCCTTGTAGTTACTACAGTGCTTACACATAGTGCCTGCTGAGTAGATATTTGTTAAATGAATGAATGATTTGAGTTTACTTCTATAGAGTTGTTAGGCACTAAAAATTCATGATTCAAATGTTCTTTTCCACTTGAAGATTTGTAGTCATAAACCACTTTATATTTGAAAGTGATTGTATAAAACTACAATCTTGTACAACAGCATTTAATTTTGAAGAATGTCTTACTCAAGACTTTTTATGTCCACTTTGGATTCTGCCTTGAACTCTCTTCAGATTATTGAGCCAGACAGATGAAACATGGAATAGTCAGATTAAAAGGGACAACATTTATTAGGAGCAGAAGAGTGGCTGGAAATTCAGGAAGTCTTTGCCTATTGGTGCCTTTCTGTAGTCATTTCTTCAGAAGGGCCCCAATCCCTTGTCTTTCTGATCACAACTTCTTTACCTACTCTCATCTTCCCCCTTCATCACATACAGATTTCTCTTTTCTTCATCTCTCCAACAGCTGTCCTATTTTCCCTACTTCACTCAGTATATTAATTACTTCTTGGTTTTTTTTCTTTCTACCCAAATGTGGAGGGCAGGGACACCATTTCAGCATTGTTGCCTACAAGCTCTGTGGAATTGCTGGTGAATATGACCCACAGTTCATTCTTGCCAGTGGAGCTGGAGCCCTTCTCGACGAAGGACCAGGACTCCACCATCTTTGCGCCACTTAAATCCAATTTGCCGACTTCACCGATGTGTCCTGTAGTTCTTTACCTCATCACTAGGTGATTCCCTGTTCTGATATCTCATTGCTGTTGTTCCAGTACCACTTGCCTTGATGTTGCAGTAACTTTTGGGGCGAGGGGATAAAATAAGAGGTGTTCATGAATGTGATCTGGGACTTAAAGAGTGTGTATGCATTTATTCAACAGTTATTGATTTGGCACCCATGGTGTGCCAGGCATATTACATAAGTGGAGCAACCATAAGGTAGGTGACTCTAGCTGGTGTTAGAGTGGATGGGGCTTGGAGCAGAGATCATTCTTCCCTCTCCCATCTCTTGTGGTTATGGCCAGGGTGCCCCATTACTGGCAGTTTCATGTGGGTCTTATGTTGTCTTTCCAATGTGCCAGTTTAAGGATTTCTGACAACCACCTTTTTAATGCTTATTTTGTGACAGATGATCCAAGAGAGCCGGTTTCTCATAGAAATGGCAGACACAGTCCAGGAAAAGATCGTGCAGTGTCAGAAAGCAGGTAACCTTCCCCCCTTGCCCCCATTTCGTTTAGAAACCATAATGATGATTTTTGGCAGACTTTTAAAGTTTAACTGTACTTTGAGTTACACTGAAGCCTTTGTTTAGTACAGAAGAGATCTACGTGATAGTAGGTAGGTGGTCTGTGTGTATATAGAGGGGGTATCTGAAGATGTCTAGAGAGGTGAGGGTTTCTGAATTTACTTTTGTGATTTGGGAACCGATCAAAGCCTTTTATTACTGATATGGAAACTGTGGTTTCACATTGCCCCTTAAGAAACACTTTATTTTTACAGTTTGAACCATAATCTTGTTAACCTTCTAGGCTTTTGCCTCATTTACTTGTCCTCATTTTAGATTTGTTCCTTCTTTAAGGGTGGGATGGGTCACATGTCTCTGATGGCCCATTGCTGTGTTTATTTACTTTCACTTCATCCACACCCCAGTACTTTTATCTCTCTTGGATCCATGTTCTCCCTGGTCCACACACACACACATTAGTGATTGCAATAAGGAAGATGACACTGACAGTTGCTTGTTATATATGCATCTGATACACTAAGCACATATGCTATGTTATTTAGTTCTCATAACAACTCTGCAGTGTCATCATCATTATATCCAATCTAGAGATGAGTTATCTGAGATTCTGAGAGATTGAGCGAATTACCCCAAATCCCATATCAACACGTGGTAGAGGTGACCTTTGAACCCAGACCAAACTTTGAAAATGGTGCTATTCGCTACTGATCTGGAGGCTTAAATGTTTCCGTTGACAGGAAGCACGAAAATAGTAACAATACGAAATACTTATATTATGCTCCTATGTACCATGCACTACTTTGAGAGTTTTGTATGTATTGACTCATTTAATCTTCACACAATTCCATGAGGTCAATACTCTTGTTATCACCATTGCACCATTGAGGAGACTTAATGGCAGAGAGTTTCAGGGATTCGCTCATGCTCACGTAGCTAGTCAGTGGTAGATCCAGAGTGTAGGTCTGGGCTCTGCAGCCATGCTCTTACTATGTACTGGGCTTGTGATGTTAGCGCCAGGAAAGTTAATGTGGTTTTAGGCTGCATCAATACAAGCCTAGTCACTAGAACTAGGAAGGTGGTGGTAAAACCCTATGTCATGTGGGCAACTTCAATCCCATTTTGAGAACAATGTTCCTGGGTGTCATCCTTAAAGAGAAATTATAATAAGCTGAAACATGTTAGAATGTTTAATCTGGAGAAGGGAAAACTCTAGTAGACTTTATCCAACATCTTTCTTCAAATATTTAAAGGGCTGTACTGTGGAACAGAGATTAGACCTTGTTGTTCTGAGGCTAGCTAGCACCAAGGAGTAGAAGTTTCAGGGAGACAGACTGGTTTGATATCAGTCACAGCTTTCCAAAGATGGAATGAGCTTTCCAGAAGAAAGTGTGATTCCGATCTCTGAGGTGCTAAGACAAAGGCTGGAGAGAAAGATGATGGTGATGTTTTTTATAGTATTCAAGCTTGGGAGAATGGTTTAGCTAAAAATAACTTTAAGGCCATTCCCAAATCTGACACATTTGGGTGTTTCCAGGAATGCTATTTTACAAAAGCTTTTTATTTTTACTCAACATTTACTAATTACCATTGTTATCTATGTGGGCTCCAGGCCTACTGTCAAGCCATATGGATGGTTCATAAGGCAAAGTAAGATATGTGCATCCTTCACATATGGTAGCCATTCACACATTACACCATTTTATATAAAAACCAGGCAGAGAACAAACAAGATGGATGCCACCTGTTGAAAGAATTTGCTTCTTCACTTCTCATATCTTTGTCTATGACCCCTTGCTATTTCAAATCTAATTTAATCTAATGCATTGATTATTTTTAGTTTCCCTTTAAGGATAGCCATTTGGTGGTGATGAACAGAATAAGGAGAATTCAATTTTGGGATTTAGAAATTATGAGAAGGACAGAAATGGGAAATTATATTTTTACTGATAATATTTTCACAATAAAATGCCTGTTTTTCTGAAATTTATACAAAGAATTCTCTTATGTTCTCTTTTTAAAGGGATGGAGTTCCATGAGGAACTTCATAATCTGGGGGCAAAAGAAGGCTTGAAAGGAAGAAAACTCAACAAAGCAACTGAGAGCTTTGCTTGGAACATTACAGTACTGAAGGTAAATGAAGTATTCAGGTGCTCCTTTGTCTTTATTTTTCTCCTCATCTCTCCAATGTGTAGAGAAGCGTCAGTGGTTAAATACAGTGACTTGAATTTTTAATTAACACTTGACCTAATTAATTTGTGCTCTAAGTGACGGGAGATGCATACTGGGATTAACACACGTTTTGCCATAATAGGATAATGAGTTTTGTGGTGGAGGCAGAAGACAGCACGACCTAATTTTATTACCTGGTGTTTGTGTGTGTGTGGTTTACTCATACTTCTTCTAGTCAAGTCAATATGGCTCTTCTGGTTTGTGGAAAGAATAACACAAAATGTTGCTGGAGAAGGATCCAGCACAAGTGACTTGGAAAAGCTTTAAACTACAGAATATCTGGAGCCATTTAGGATTATTTGATTTTAGGAAGAGTCTCTATAAATACATTTATTTTTGCAAAAATTTTGGAAGTCAGTTTTTTGAGATTATGTTTTGCTCACTGAAAATTAATTTTAGGACTTCAAAGTAAAGACGCCACTTTTCATATTTTGTTACATGAATGGACAAATGATTTAGGCAGTTGGAATAGCTTATTCTTAGTAGTGTGATGGAGAAAAACAGCCACAAACAAAATTAATAATTGCTGACATTTAAAAAACACTGATGCACCAGGCGCTGTTTTACAAGGTTTATATGAATTAACATTTTAATACTTTCATTAACTCAATACTGTTATTATTCTCATTTTAAAAGTGAGAAAACCAAGGCACTGAAAACTTATGTATATTACCCAAGGTCACTCAGCTAGTAAATGGTGGAGCTGGAGTTTGAACCCAGGCAGTTGGCTCCAGAGCCTGCTCTACAGAGAGATACTGCACATGTTTATGTGAAAGTGCTAGGTGAACTGTAATACATATCATAAATGTTTATTAAAAATTCAGTCCACAAATATTTGTTAAGCTCCTACTATGTACTGGGCTCTCTGCTATGCATTGGGAACCCATGAAGAACAAAAGCGATACAGACCCTGACCTCGTGAGTTAAGTCTGGGGGCAGGAGGTGGGGTGGGGGAAAATAGGTGTCATTTGCTTAAGAGGCAGGAACTATAGTGTTAATATAAACTATAGTGTTAATATAAAGGTGTTTTATAATACCTGAGTACAACATGGCAGTGTGAGCCCTGATACAGACGCTTTCTGTTCAGCGTATTTTTATGTGGGCTCACTAATGTGCTGATCACTGAGAAAGGAGCTACAGACACAAATATCAAAAAAGTAATACCTGGGCCTCCAGAACTAGTCTACTAGGGGAGACAGACATGTGACTAATAGCAGCCATTGATTATTCAACACTTCACATGTGACAAGCACCCATGACTAAGTAGTTCATGTATGTTTCCTCCTTTCCTCTTCACAACAACTGTGTGACATTGCAGCAACTCATGCTGACCCTCTCCATCTCACAGATGAGGAAACTGAGGCTCAGGAAGGTTTTAGTTTCTTACCTTCAGCTAGTAGGTGGCAGAACTGAGATGCTATATCATGCCCATCGTTCTAACCACTACCCTATCCTCCTGCCTCCTGAAAGACTCAATCCATGTGACTGAGTCCAGGCAGCCTAGTACAGGGGTGAGGGCACAGGCTCTGGGTGCAGACTGCCTGATAGCTGTGAGGCTTTAGCCAAGTTATGTAGTCTCTCTGAGGGTGATAATGATACCTACACCCCAGGTTTTATAAGAATGAAATGAGATAATACATATAAAAATATCTAAGTCACAGTGCACAAAACTTGACATTATATCTATACCTATACTATTATTGTATATATATGCTATTACTTTTGCCAGGGTGAGGATGACCATTGGGATAAAAGTCTTTTGGTTTTTCTTAATTTAAATTTAAATTAAAAAAACAACTAATTAATTTTTTTAAATTGAGGTATAATTGTTAGTTTCTTTGTTAACTTCTGACTGAAGCCCATTCACTGTTTTCTGAGGTTTGTCTGTGTGTTTGGTTTAGTGACAGGAACTGATTGCTAGATGGGGCCTAGCAAATGCTGTACAAATCGTTCTCGGACAGATCTTTTGAAACAGAATCAATCTTCTGTTATTTTAGCTCATGTACCAGCTACTAGTATTTCAGCTTGAGCACTAGGAACTTAAACAAGAATAGTGAACTTCTCCAAACTTCTATTTCCCTTCTCTCCCCCATTGCGTTTAGTGGGCCTGTTAATTATGTACTCT